TAGCTGAGACCAGCAGCAGCCAGGGAGGACAAACCCCAGCAGCAGAGAGCTCAGCAACCAGGTCTGCTCTCGTGTTTCAGGAGGTGGGAGGTGTGATGTTCTGCAATGCAATCCTGCTCAGAGCCAGGAGGGACTCAGCACATGGCTCTCTGCTGGGCACTGGACTCTGCAGATGCCCTCCACAGCACAGAAGGTGGGGTCTCAGGTCCCCACCCTGCCCCGTGGCCTAGGGTTGTCCTCCTTACAAGGACCTGGCTTCAGAGGGGGCCAGCCTCCAATGCTCATTCAGTCCAGCAAAGATCACACCTCAGGTTTAAAGTATTTCCACACAGGCCAGGCACAAGCTAACAGGTCAAGCCCTCTCCTGGCTTGGCTTAGCTGTTCTCTGCTGAAAGAGCTGTAAAACCACTCTGCCATATCAGTCAGGTATTGGGACACATTTTTCCCTTTAAATTCCTATATCACCTTCACCAGTTTTCCTGTTGCACAAGCTAGTGGCCAGCAAACCCAAGGACAAGCTGATGTTCACTCATCCCGTCACTGGTGCTACCCCTCTCTGTGGGCAGACTCAGCCATTGGAGCACGGAGAGGTATTTGCCAGGAGACAGAGACCTCCCTCCCCATGTGTGGGAGGCAATGGATTTCTCATCTGACTCCAGGAAATAAATGTGTTAATTCAGCCAGAGTTGCAATTAATCCAGGTCACTGCTCACACCTTCTCTTCAGCATGGTGCAGTCACGAGAGCTGTAGGAGGGCAGGTCTGTGACGAGGTGCTGGTGATACAGTTCACAGTCAGGTCAGGGTTATTAATGAGCTTTCACCTCCAAGATGGCAACAGCCATTTGGGTGCTGTGCTGGGCCACATGCAGGAGCTGCTCCAAGCCCAGGCTGCAACCACGACAACACTGCCTTGTGTCCTTCTTTCCCTGCCCTTGAGGTGGAGGGAGGGTTAGCTTTGGATGCTTTGCTTTGGAGCTAGATAAACACAGCTCAGTATAGGAAAGAGACCTTAAATAATCATCACGTAGGAGATGAGGTCTGAGGCAAAGACTGAAGTCCTGAAATATTGAAAACCCTCCTGGATCCAAATGTTCCATCTCCTTATGTGTGAGAACTTTAGAGATGTATCTTGAGAAATGAATTACTCTCTTCCTTTTTTCTTTCCCTCCTCCCTTTCAAAGGTGAAAGTAGACGAGAGCCTTTCCTTGGACCATGTAACTCGGGACAGAGTGAAAATGACCCACGGACGCAGGCCACCCACGAGAAATCACCTAAAGGAGGTAGGTGCACCCACCCTGGGGTGGGCCATCTCCCCAGCTGGCATCACTGAGAGCTGCTCCTTCCACTGAGGCACAAAACACCAGGGAAAACCCCAGGGAAAACAGATAGCCCAGAGGATGTCAACAAAGGAAACAGCTTCCTCCAGGAAAGGCTGCTCCAGCACCTCTCCATGGAAGCTCCAGGTTCCCATAGATCTGTAGATTCTGTAACACATTCTGATATATTTAGCTTTCCATAACTCACGAGCTGCTTCACAGTCTGGTGAGAGCCATTATAGTTTCACTTTAATCAGATGAGACTAAAGCTCCTATATTTATTTTCTAAGAAGTGATAATTTTGTAGCCACAGTGGTCTAAAAGTAGAAGAACTGCATGGTCTGTGGGGAGAAGCTGTATTTTTTATTAAGCTAACTGGAAAAAGCAGACAAGCTTTCAAGCTTACAAGCCCTTCCTTAGGTCTGAAACAGAATACATTATTCTCCCAGGCAGTTTTATGGACTAGCCTGCCTACTCTTAACTGATTTTTGGGATCTGTCACTTTAAAAAAAAAAAGGGAAGATAAACCACCACAAAATAAACCTGCAGTTCATTTCCATGAGAGAGGTTCTTACTAATGTTTGATTACTGTGATTTATGAAAAAGTTGCCACAGACAGATTGATATTTTAGCAGAGCATTAATCTCAACCAAGGAAGGTTTTTATATCAGACCTTCTTTCTTCAAACTTCCAAGACTCTGACTTATGTGTCTGCACAGCAATCAGATGATTCTGTGCAGGAAATGAGATGCCCTGAGACTTTTTACTTTGCATAGAAATGGAGGAAGAGTGTCTCTTCTAGAGAATGAATCATAGATTCCCATCCACTCCTCCAGAAACTGCAGGAGAAGACATGACAAAAGTCACAGCAGCAATTAAGTGTGGATTCTCTGTTGCCTAATATGGGTTCAGGAAGGTAAGAAGCCCTTCCCTAGGCACTAGGAAGATCTCTCTCCTCTACTTCGCGCAGTAAATTCACAAGATACTTCTGAGATTAATCCCTGTAAGACCTCTCACCTTCAGCCAAATTCAGGAGAAACTGACTTAGAAATTCAGAAGCAGTAATGAAGGGAAAGGGAGGGGATGGAGCCTGCAGAAAGATGTCTATCAAGGCTGCTGGCTGCAGTATCATGAAGAAAATGAGGTGAATGATAATTTCAGTGTCAAAGCAGGCCAGGAGAGGACAGGTCAGGGCCAAGCTGCCAGGATGCAGCTTGCCTCCATGTCTCTGAGAGGCTGGAAAGGCAAGGAGGGACTAACTAAACTCCCTGCACTGCAGGAGCCTGGCTGCAGCTAAGCCTTCGTGTGGTTTTAGGTTCCCTCAGACAGGAACTGTCACTGTGTTTCTCCGTCTGGGGCACTGAGCTTACACACTGCAATGTCTTCACTAATTCCATCCTTTTTAGGAAACCCTCATAGTAGAGTCATTTGCACACAGCTTGTGGTTTGAAGGAGGTTTAACCAGCTGAGGCTCAGCCCTGGTGACAGAGTAACAAAGCACTGGAACAGGCTGCCCAGAGAGGTTGTGGAGTCTCTTTCTCTGGAGACGTTTAAAACCCATCTGGATGTTTTCCTGTATGATCTGCTGTAGGTGATCCTGCTCGAGCAGGAGGGTTGGACTAGATCAGAGATGCCTTCCAGCCCCAATGACTCTGACCCTGTCAGACAGGGAGGCCATCAGGTTGAAGGAAGCAAGCAGAAGGAAGGATATTACAATAGCATCCCTGGCTAAATGATCTAAATATCAACTTGTTTCATATGTCCAAGTAAAAATATGGCAGTCCCAAAAACAGAAAGCAGATGGGCTTTGGGTAGGCATGCTGTAAGTGAAGAGGAAAAAAGAGTTCCAGCCACCCCAGGATAAACAAGTGAAATATGGCAGAGCTGACTGCCTAACATGGACAGGAAGACCAAGAAATAAGGTTACTGTGGAAGAAGCTTTGAGACCTTCTTCTCAAAGGAAGTAGTAAAATAAGTTCTGTGCTTTTGTCCTAATTCTTGACTGCTTATGGTTTATTGGCTTGATATTCTTGTGCAAGTTGCTGCAGAAAATTACTCAGCAGCAAAAACACAATGTTGACAGAATGTGTTGGTGTGGGGAAGAAGTGGGACTGTGCAGGGGTTGGAAGTTCTTCACTCATTGCACTTGAGACTTGCTGCAATGGCCATTACTTGACCCATCTTTCTTTGTTAGGTGACTTGTTTGGTGTTTATCATGGCTCATTACCTTTTAGCATGGCAGATCACATTGGGTTTCACTTATTAAATTAAGGTAGAGCTGGCTGCTGCTGCTAGAGGGTAGCACAGGGTGATGCTCTGTGGAAGCAACACCATAGATTGCTGTTGAGCTACAGAAAAAGCTGATCTTAAGAGCACTATTTTGTTATCAATCAGTCAGATTGTCCTTGCAGTTTTGACAGATGTAAGTATAAATGGGGTGGATGTGTGAAGCAGCAACCCCTCACTTGCCTTGCTGTTTGTCAGGGTCTTGCACTTCAACTGGAAGGTAAAGGATGGAGCAAAGGATTGATGAGGGGACAGATACTGAAAAAATTCTCCCTTGTATTTCAGGCTGCTAAACTGACATCAGATGGAATCCTGCGACTAGACCTGGATATAGTAGACAACAGACCACCAAACTTGGATTCCACCATGAGTGAAATTGACAATGCACCGCCTGAGAAAGAAACTCCAAAGCCACCTATGCCACCTGCAAAACCCACCAGCACAAAAGAAAACCAAGATGCAGAGAACGACGTTCCTGACCAGGAACATAAAAAACCTCTGTCTCCTCCGTTGCCCCCAGATAAGAAGCTTAAGGAAGGCCTGGCATTGAAGGACAATGTAAATGCCAAGGAAGAGGACTCTGTAAGCCCAGAGGAGAATGTGGAAGGATCCCAAGCACCAAGTGAGGAGAACAGAGAGAACCATACTGAGGTCAGCAACAGGGGCATGGCAAAAGCTCCAATTCCTCTTCCCAAGAGCATGCCAGACAAGCTAAAAGTAGCCTGGGACCAATCAATCCCTGAGCCTAAAAACACAGAAGACTTGAAATCATCAGGAGAGAGTAGCAAAGACGACTTTGCTGAGATTGCTGCTGCAGATGTTACAAAGCCTCTGGTTCCTCCTAAGGTTCTGTCAGAAAAAATGCTAGCCACAATGCAGTCCAGCCATGGAGATCTAGAAGCTGGGGATAGAGAAGGCCTGGAGTCCAGCAGCTCCAAGCCCCCGGTGAACGGGATCACAGCCAGCGAGGCAGCTGAGTCCACATCCCCAGTGGTTGAAACTGAAGAAGGAAACGGGACAACCTCTGCTGAGAAGGAACAGCAAACTTCAGCAGAAGAAACAGAGTCTTCCTTACCTACAGAAACAGGCCATGAGAGTGTAAAAGCAACTGTTGAGAAGAACGAGTCTGTAGAAAACACTGCAGGTCTCAGACTTCGCAGTTCTTCTCTGGGAGACCTGCTGTCTGATTCCAAAAATACAAAGAGAGCACTTCCAGGCCAAGGTTTTCCCAAGGATCCCCATCACTGCTTAGCTAGAATGGAGGAGAAAGTTGCTAATGAAAGGGAAAAGGCAGAAAAACTTCTGCAGAAGGTTTTACGTGAAGGGATGGAGCAGGCCCAGGAGGGGAATGGACCCCCAGTGATGGCAGAGACATTGCTCAATGAGGCAGTAGAACAACTCCGGCAAGCTACACAAGTTTTGCAAGAAATCAAAGGTCTTGGAGAACTGAAAAAAGAAGCAACACAGAAACAGAAAGAAAAGCAAAAGGATCTAGTGACTCTTTATAGGAGAAGTGCTCCCTGACGTACCTGTTCCAAGACATTTCTCTCTCAAAAGCAAAGCTGAACGTTTGCCATTTATGATTTGTACCGTTGCTAGGCCAGTGTTTAAAAGGTGGTGTTTTGCTGTGCACACACCATGTATATGGGACAGAACTGAGCTTTCAGTTATAGCATCTTTCTCTCTCTCTTCATGCTGTACACACCAGTCTGGTTCTAATCCTCTTAGCACAGCAGAAGGTTACATGACATTGAAATGTGAATGTTCTGTAAGGACTCAGTCCAAAGTCCTTTCAGTGGATCAGGCTGTAAAAATTACTGGTAATCAAACCAAACAGATTTTTGAAAGGAACAGGATGGCTATTCTAGCAAAAGCCCCTGTCTATCTGTATTTACAGACAAGCAAGTACCAGATTGCACTGGCACCTATCTGGGTTTCCCATTTAAATCATTTAAGGATAAAAGTAGTCAGTGTTCGCTTGCTGGCGAGGTTTCCCAGACCACCTGGCCCAGTGACATCTAAGAATGTAGAGAGAAATGGTTTCATCTTCTCCAAATATACTCATAAAACCGCATCCACAGTTGAAAAGTGACCTCACACAGAGGCAAGCAAAACTGGCCAACTCCTGACTACCCGTAGTGTCCTCGGATCTGGAGCAGCTGTACGAAGGCACCTCTGAGTCTGTGTGTGCAGAGCTTTGGGTGTGCTATGAACTGCACAAGTGAACCCAAGTCTCATTGCACCATTACCAGGCAAGTATTAATTGCTCCTGTTTCATTAATATGGAAGTTAAGGCAAAGATGCACAGCAGGTTACACTTGGAGTACACTTTGAAGGAGTGTCTTCTGGCAGCCCAACACATTTTTTATTGAGGACTACACCTATCTGTTAACTCTGAAACTCCTCATCATAGTTGGTAACAATTAGCCAGGCATATGGAGCGCTTGTGTCCAGGAGCTTCTGAGGAGAGCTGCCAGGAAGAAGCTTTAGGGATGTGTGTTCCCTTAGCTGTGGGCTTGCTCTCTGGGTTGTCAACTGACAGGAGCATGTACATCAGGCAGTGGGTCTGGAGGAGATCCCTCTTCCTATTTAACAGGTTCATACCTGCTGTGTCCTGGCTAGCCTGAGAGCCATGGTTTGGCACAGACATCTTTAATTGGAGTTTGTGGAGGAAAAAAACATTTTGCATGCTCAATTCTGGGGCTAGTCCCTGTGGCTTAAGTATATTAAAGACATTGCTTCAGAAGGGTCCGAGGGAGGCATTGCAGAAGGCTCTAGCACAACTCCCACAGCTTCCCTGCCCACCTGCTGAGAGCAACCACAGCTCCCATGGTCTGTAGTGATTACAGCTCTGATCAAATCATGTCTTGCACCGCTGCTGAATAGCCCTGTACCTGAGCTGGGTTCCCTATTTTCTGTAGCTGCTCTGTGGAGAATCATATGCCAACTCAAAGGGCTTCTCCTTTGCCTGAGCCAGACTCTGGAAGCATGGAAAGGGTGATCTCAGTCTGATTTTAAGGAATGACAGGCTACATAAGCCCCTTTCTCTCTTTGCCAGCAGTGCCCTCCTAGCTCACCCATTTCTTCTCTTATATGGTTTCCCAGGTTCCACAAGGCTGCAGTGGGCTGCAAACACCTCCCGTAGCAGCAGCCCAGTAAAGCTTCATCTGTGCCTTTCTTTAGACTAGGCAGCGGCACTTCAGGTCAGAGCACAGAAATGTTGGCTTAGGGCTTCCAGGTATCCTCTTTTTCACCACCTGGAGCCACCAAGATAGCTAGTGATTAGAACAGAAGCTTCTGCCCCTTTTGATTAAAGCAGCCTTGGTTCCAGTGGTCTGTCCCCCTCTCAAGACACCCATAGACATCGCAGGGGAATTCATTTGTTATTCTCTCATGTGGAAAGTTCTACACAGTGAAACACTCAGTGCTCAGGTGCCAAAAAGCTTTGCTTCAAAACAAACTTATTTCCTACATCCTAAGCCCACTCCCAGGCACACAGCCTGGAGCAAACTCTGGATCCATGTCATTTGCTGCTGTAGATTCAATGTGAACCATGGGTCTGACTCACCTTTCCAGACATCCTTAGGACAAGGGCTAATTCCACAGACAATATTCAGTGCCTATCTGCTATCTAAATGTATTTTTCTGCATGTGCACTTTTGTTTACCGAACACTGTGTGGTATGAATGTAAGCTGTCAGAACCTGGTGTGCACTGGAAGTGGAGGGACATCAGCTGCACAGAGCAGGCAGGCTTTTGCAAGATGCAGTTCTAGAACAAGAGATGAATGAGATGGGGAAAAAACAGTTCACCTAACAGGAATATACCCAAACCCTGGGTACAGGTTCATATCCCAAAGCTAAAGCCGGTCCTATACTCCAGGATGGGCAAATCAAAGCCTGGAACCGGAAACCCAGGAGAATGGAAACAGCTTATGGGATAGTTCAGTCCCCTAATTTATATACAAATGCTTTTGCTCTCACAGGTGTTATCTTATGGTGGTGTGTTGTGTGGATCCTGTCTGGCAAAGTGCTGATGAAAATACCCAGACATCCCTATCTGTTACAGCCAAACCTACAGGATGTACTTATATTTACTGTATATTTTTATATTATACTGAATATTCTAATGAATAAATGTCTGACATTTTACTGAATACCCATCAGTAGGAATATTAACAGAAAAAAACCCTCCTATGTCTGTAAAGAAATGGGCAAGGTAAATCTTTTTACAAGCTACAGCCAATTACTGTATTTGCTGTACTAACAAAACATACTAGATTTGTATTATGTCATGTAAATAGGTATAACTTAAGTGAATCTCTGTAGCACCCAGTAACTACTGCTGAAAATGCTATATTACAGACTTTGGTTTTAACTACTTTTTTCTAACAGGGTTAGCAGTTTCATCCTACTATGTCTGGTCCAGCTGTAGGCCTGATTCACCTGGACTTGGCAGAAAAATATGCAACATATTCCTGCCGGAGTTTTCCTACTTGTTCTCCTTCAGGTCATGAGCCAGACCCTGCTGAGGGTTGGAGAGTGGGTTCTCCTGCAGCTGCCTTCTGGGGTGTTTTTATGTGCTCTTCTGAAAATGGTAGTGCTGGGCAGAGTCAGAGACAGGATCCTGCTCTGCTCTGACCTTATACAGCAACTCCCATCTTCAGTCTACATCCTGCCATCATGCACTTTTTTATTTTTAAATTTTTCTTTATACTTACATTTAAACTTACATCTAATTTCTGGCTGCACTAAGGCTGGGTTTTTTGTGCCTGAAAACCCTCTGGCCATGGAGTACTGGGGTGTGAGTCTGTGTTTTGGGCTGTGCCACCAGATTACATGTCTGTGACAGGAAGGAAGTGAGTTTGCAAGCAAGGAAATGTGGATGATGATCTGAAAGCAGCTGCTGCAGCCTGTGGAAAGGCAGCACTTTGTCTCCTGCTTGTAAAGAGCTTTGAGATTTGGCAATAAAACCCCCTCTGAAATATGAGCTGTTTAAAGAGCCATTTGTCCTAAAGAGGAGCAAAGAAGAGCCCCCATTGAGGCTTTGCTGGGGAGGAGGGCACATTGCACAGGCTGTGGTCAGGCTGGGGTGAGGGAGATGGTGAGCTAACCACAAGCCCAGAGGAAGGAGAAGCACTGGGGGCTGTGGCTGGCACGGAGCTGGAGCTCTGCAGTTCCTCTGGCATCCCTGCCTCCCAGCCTGGCTGCCCTGGCCAGAATGCACAGCCAAGGCCAGGATCTGTTTCTCTGGAACAGGCATCTCACCAAGTGCAGTCTCCAGTGATGCTGGCTGGGCTGCCCTGAAACATCTTAATGTGGACTCTAGTGTCTACAAAATGTTGAGCTTACTGGGAAGTTGTCCCCTTGGTGGTGAGCAGCACCAGAACCTCATTCCTCTGCCAAGATGCCAGTAAACTACAGGAAGATGAACTGCTATCAAGTGACTGCTTCCCTTCTCTGAAAACTGGGTAGAAACTGGTCATTTGATTCAAAAGTAATGAGGAAGCACAGGAAA